ATGTGTGGATGGATGGATGGATGGGTGGGTGGATGGGTGGATGGGTTGATGGGTGGATGGATGGATGGATGGATGGATGGATGGGTGGATGGGTGGATGGATGGATGGATGGATGGAAAGGTGGATGGATGGATAGATGGAGGGATAGATAGATGGGTGGATGGGTGGATGGATGGGTGGATGGATGGGTGGATGGATGGGTGGATGGATGGGTGGATGGGTGGATGGATGGATGGGTGGATGGATGGGTGGATGGATGGATGGGGGGATGGATGGATAGATGGATGGGTAGGTGGATGGATGGATGGGTAGGTGGATGGATGGATAGATGGATGGATAGATGGAGGGATAGATGGGTGGATGGATGGATGGATGGATGGGTGGTTGAATGGATAGATGGATGGATGGATAGATGGGTGGATGGATAGGTGGATAGATGGATGGATGGATGGATAGATGGATGGGTGGATGGATGGATGGGGGGATGGATGGATAGATGGATGGGTAGGTGGATGGATGGATGGGTAGGTGGATGGATGGATAGATGGATGGATAGATGGAGGGATAGATGGATAGATGGGTGGATGGCTGGATGGATGGGTGGGTGGATGGATAGATGGAGGGATAGATGGATAGATGGATGGATGTTTGGATGATCTCATGCAGCTGATGGATCTCCTCTTTCTCTGGCAGCCTGTGGGAAGCAGGGATTGCAGTCCCGGATCTTCGGTGGGACCTCGGTGGTGCCGGGTGAATTTCCGTGGCACGCCACGCTGACTTACAAGGGGAGCCCATTCTGCGGGGGAAGCCTGATCTCTGATAGGTGGATCGTCACGGCCTCTCATTGCTTCGATCGGTAAGTGGAGTAGATCCATAGACATTGTCTCATCACACCAGGACATAGAATGGGGCAGGGAACACACAGTGGATAATGAAGTCCAGATGTTTCCATGAGGCCACAATCACGGGGGCATTATACACACGGAGCCGTCATGTCTCCATGGTGGGCCCATCTCCATGCAGCACCAAATCTGTTTCAGGCTGGGCTGCCAGCCACCGATATGGAGGCCCATCGGCCAGTCTATCATCAGTGGTCTGCACTGGCTTCCTGATAGTGACAATTGTGCACAATGTGTGTTGGGATGGCCACTGGTAGTGTCCACAAGGAGAGTGTGTGGCAAGGGGACAACACAGGAGCACAACTGGGACCCAGGGTCAGAGCGTTGTCACTCTATAACAGGAAGTGTCTGGACAAGGACATTTATTGCAGGATCACCGGGGATTCATTTATATGAGTATTGAGATTATTTACTTCCACTTCAACTCTCCAACATCTACCAAAATCTGGAGTATCAGTGTTAGATCTTCTGACCTCCCAAGTTCCGTCTAGTTCTCCAACCCTTTACAATTGTATCTGTGTCTCCCAGAACATTCTAGACTGATCCACATCTGAATCCTTTTAAGACTTCATTGGTTGTGACAGGACCTCTTTAGAGGATTACAAGGCAACGTTGACTTCAAACCTCAAAATTAATACCAGGTCTCTTCTTTATTTTAAGAACAACCACTCAGGACAAAAGGGACCCCAAGTTATGGCAAGTTCACCTGGGTTTCACCAAAATGGGGTACACTCCGAATGAAAGCAGCGTGGTCACCATGGTCCCCTCCCGAATTGTGATCCATGAGAACTATACGAAATACACTGAAGGCTTTGATATCGCCCTGGTGGAGCTGCCAGCTCCGGTGACCTTCACCCGTTTCATCTCCCCCATCTGCCTCCCGGAGAACAGCCACCGCTTCCACCTGCGCAGAACCTGCTACGCCACCGGTCTCAAGAACGTGCAGGAGGGGGGTGAGTAGAGAGTTTAATGAAAGCAGCTCAGAAGATGTGACATAAACGATATCACCAAAAGTATTGGGACGCCTTTACACGCACATGAACTTTAATGGCTCCCCAGTCTTAGTCCGTAGGGTTCAGTATTGGGTTGGCTCCGCCCTCTAATGACATCATAGTCTTAGTCCGTAGGGTTCAGGTATTGGGTTGGCTCCGCCCTTTGCCGCTATAACAGCTCCGCCTCTTCTGGGAAGGCATCCACAAGGTTTAGGGGTGTGTCTATGGGAATGTTGGACCATTTGTGAGGTCAGGTACTGATGTTGGGGGAGGGGCTCGCAGTCTCCGCTCTAATTCATCCCAAAGGTGTTCTATGGGTTTGAGGTCAGGACTCTGTGCGGCCAGTCAAGTTCCTCCCCCCCAAACTCCCCCATCCATGTCTTTATGGACCTTGCTTTGTGCACTGGTGCGCAGTCATGTAACAGGAAGGGGCCATCCCCAAACTCCTCCCACAAAGTTGGGAGTATGAAATTGTCCAAAATGTCTTGGTGTGCTGATGTCTTAAGAGTTCCCTTCACTGGAACTAAGGGGCCAAGCCCAACCCCTGAAATACAACCTCCCCCCCCATAATCCCCCCTCCACCAAACTTTACACTTGGCACAATGCGGTCAGGCAAGTACCGTTCCCCCGGCAACCGCCAAACCGAGGCACGTCCATCGGATTGCCAGACAGAGAAGCGTGATTGGTCCCTCCAGAGAACACGTCTCCACTTCTCTAGAGTCCAGTGGCGGCGCGCTTTACACCACGGCATCCCACGCTTTGCATTGCACTTGGTGATGTGCGGCTTGGATGCAGCTGCTCGGCCATGGAAACCCATTCCATGAAGCTCTCTACGCACTGTTGTTGGGCCAATCTGAAGGCCACATGGAGTTTGGAGGTCTGTAGCTATTGACTCTGCAGACAGTTGGCGACTTCTGCGCACTGTGCGCTTCAGCATGTGCTGACCCCGCTCTGTCATGTGACGTGGCCTACCACTTCCTGGCTGAGTTGCTGTTGTTCCCAGTTGCTTCCACTTTGTTATAATCCCAGTAACAGGTGACTGCGGCGGAATATTTAGTAGCCAGGAAATGTCACGGAACACCTGAATCCAATGATTTGGAGGGGGAGGGGCCAATACTTTTGGCAATATAGTGTATATGCACCTTATTCTATCATCTTCCAAATACTGACATGTTTTCTTATACATGGGGCGCTTTGATTTTCAAGCATCTTCCACAACCTCCAATGAACTTCCCTTGTTCTTTCTTGACTCAGTGCCTCTGAACAGCAAGAGGTCCTTAGAAAAAGTTGGCCAGATTTTGATCGGTTGGAGAACCTGCAATTGTATCTACAACACCCACATGAGACCAGACCTAAGCAACCCTGCAAATCCCAGCATGCTGTGCATTACGGAGAGCGACGGAAAGAAGGGCCCGTGCCAGGTGAGTTACGTGGACATAGAGTCTCATTTGTCTTTGGGCTTCATGATAAGATACGATGGGACATTCTTCTTTCACTTTCAGGGTGACTCTGGTGGGGCCGTGGTTTGTGAAGAGGACGGGGTCTGGTTCCTTGCTGGACTCGTCAGCTTTTCCCAAGGTTGTCACTTGCTGAACAGTCCCACCATTCTCTCTTCTGCCTCCTTCTACCAAGACTGGATTAAGCGGCACACTGATGAACAAGCCTCCTTCTCCCCCCAGACCATTCCGGTGGTAGATGATGTGGACAATGACAATTGCAGTGACCTTCTTAGTAATCACACAGCAGGTAAAGTCTAGAATGGACACACTTGAGGTCTCCTTGGCTTCCCAACTCTCTGCATCAACATCAAAGACTCAACTGTAGACATTTCTTTTTAACCCAAGCTGCAGACAAGATGGCGCTGGTCATGACAAGATATCTCATCATTCTTCTCTTTTCGAGGTTGTGGAATCTCACAGGTCAGTGATCCTACTTTCCGGAGTCCCGGAACTTGGCCATGGCAAGTGGACCTCTGGAGAGATGGGAAGAGAACTTGCAGTGGGGCCCTTATCTCAGCCAGTTGGGTGATCACAGCTGCAGAGTGTTTTATTGGGTAAGATATTGGCCTGCAGAGCTGAGGGACATTTTACTGAACTGGAACCCAGTCTATAGAGGTGAGGACACAAATAGATTAAGGACTGAAGGACTATAACCTTGCCAGCATTTCAGCTTTGAAGTAAAGATTTTGATTGAACAAATGTTTGAGGGTAATAATAAATATATCCATATATTATAATATGGCTCCAGCATGACAGGGAGAGCATCAGAGGGTTGAAGTATCATATCGTTCCTTGCCAATGAAGCCTATACCTTAATGACCCCACCACTCATATAACCAGGGCCAAGGTCCAGTACTGGGTGGAACCCAACTAAACCTCCAAAAGGAAACTGGAGCAGCTGGAGGACACCGGCACTAACCCGGGGAGATCATACAGTCTCTTCTCACTAGTGGGAATGTTGACAACGTGTATCATCAGCACGGATGCTGACTTATTTGTGGAGTGAATTATTCTGAATTGCTGTGGGGATTTGCTTTATCACTCACCCTTTGCTTACTCCACCACTATATGTATTTCTCTCACAGCCAAGGCTCCTCCGAGTTGCCAGAGGACTGGTCGGTCACAGTGGGTAGCGGGACGCCCGTGATGATGGACATTGCGGTACAACAAATCAGTGTTCACGGCTCATACATCAGCCCTGAAAAGGGTTACAACGTGGCTCTGGTTCTTCTTGCCCATCCTGTGCCCCTGGGACCATACAGCCAAGCCGTCTGCTTGCCCCATTCCTCCCATCGTATGCCATATGGCTCTACGTGCTGGCACATAGTTGGGGACAATTCGCTTCCTGGTAAGTTGGAAATCCTGCTTAATGAATCTTAAGGTATTCCATTCCAAGTAGAAGTAGACTTGGGTGCCAAATCTAAGCGCCATATTGTGAAAGTCCAATGAGTCTTGCTCTGGGCACTCGGAAGAAGGTACCTTGGTGGGCATAGGTACATCTTTGATTTTCATCCATGATGGCATCTTTGTTGCATGAGGCCCAGTTGCCATAAGATTGCATTGATTTGATTCTTGAATCTTTTATAATACCCGTGCATTTAGCCCCAATGTTCCTCCAATCTTTTTGGAAAAGCAATACTAGGAGCAACTGTTAACCTGTACTTCATTTCTGATCTCCAGAAGACCAGACGGGTGTGCCACGTGGAGACAAATTGGAGCTGTTAGGCCCCAACCAGTGTAACTGCATCTACAGCCGACCAAACTCAGACAACCCCACTGAGTCTGTAATAGAGGGGATGATATGTGCGTCCAGGGAGGGTGAGAACAGCAGCCAATGCCTGGTAAGTAGCCCCTATAGATCTTCTACCTTGATCATCTCCTGTATACGCCTACCCTGGTGGAAAGCGTTTTGCAATCTAAAAAAATGATATACATATGTCCTATTTTTTTCTATATGCTTCTTATATGTGTATACCACGGCTTGCTTTCTTTATATATCATCAGACAATGTTGGATGAATACCAGCAGTTGATTGGTTGTTTGCTCCAGCCAATCAGATAACCCATCTTTCCAATCCACCATTGTGTTTGCAGAATGACTTGGGTGGAGCCCTGGTGTGTAAAGAGAATGGGACTTGGTTCCTGAATGGTGTGTATAACTATGGAGGAGGATGCAAGGAAGGATCAGGTTCTACACTGCCAAGAGTGTTCACTCAGCTAGCCACGTATGATGACTGGATAGACAAGGAGACACGAGAAATGTTTCTCCGGCCTGCGATCAATTCACCGCCACCCAAGCCAGACACAGACAGATGCTCCTTAGACAGTCCAAGAGGTACATGCATGCATTATATCACTGTTGCTGTGGAAATTAAAGGGTGAAACATTTTGCTTCCTAAGGGTGGAAGTTTAACTACATATATATAGATCATCACTGGTGGTGTGGGACATCAGGCATGGAGCTATGTCTGGTTCCTGAGAGTAGAAACTTTAGTACATACATGACTGGTGGTGTGGGACATCAGGAATGGAGCTATGTCTGGTTCCTGAGAGTATAAACCTCAGTACATACATGACTGGTGGAGTGGGACATAAGGAGTGGAGTTATATCTGGTTCCTGAGAGTAGAAACTTCAGTACATACATGACTGGTGGAGTGGGACATAAAGTGTGGAGCTGTCTGGTTCCTGAGAGTAGAAACCTCAGTACATACATGACTGGTGATATGGGACATCAGGCATGGAGCTATGTCTGGTTCCTGAGAGTAGAAACTTCAGTACATACATGACTGGTGGAGTGGGACATAAAGTGTGGAGCTGTCTGGTTCCTGAGAGTAGAAACCTCAGTACATACATGACTGGTGATATGGGACATCAGGCATGGAGCTATGTCTGGTTCCTGAGAGTAGAAACTTCAGTACATACATGACTGGTGGAGTGGGACATAAAGTGTGGAGCTGTCTGGTTCCTGAGAGTAGAAACCTCAGTACATACATGACTGGTGATATGGGACATCAGGCATGGAGCTATGTCTGGTTCCTGAGAGTAGAAACTTCAGTACATACATGACTGGTGGAGTGGGACATAAAGTGTGGAGCTGTCTGGTTCCTGAGAGTAGAAACCTCAGTACATACATGACTGGTGATATGGGACATCAGGCATGGAGCTATGTCTGGTTCCTGAGAGTAGAAACTTCAGTACATACATGACTGGTGGAGTGGGACATAAAGTGTGGAGCTGTCTGGTTCCTGAGAGTAGAAACCTCAGTACATACATGACTGGTGATATGGGACATCAGGCATGGAGCTATGTCTGGTTCCTGAGAGTAGAAACTTCAGTACATACATGACTGGTGGAGTGGGACATAAAGTGTGGAGCTGTCTGGTTCCTGAGAGTAGAAACCTCAGTACATACATGACTGGTGATATGGGACATCAGGCATGGAGCTATGTCTGGTTCCTGAGAGTAGAAACTTCAGTACATACATGACTGGTGGAGTGGGACATAAAGTGTGGAGCTGTCTGGTTCCTGAGAGTAGAAACCTCAGTACATACATGACTGGTGATATGGGACATCAGGCATGGAGCTATGTCTGGTTCCTGAGAGTAGAAACTTCAGTACATACATGACTGGTGGAGTGGGACATAAAGTGTGGAGCTGTCTGGTTCCTGAGAGTAGAAACCTCAGTACATACATGACTGGTGATATGGGACATCAGGCATGGAGCTATGTCTGGTTCCTGAGAGTAGAAACTTCAGTACATACATGACTGGTGGAGTGGGACATAAAGTGTGGAGCTGTCTGGTTCCTGAGAGTAGAAACCTCAGTACATACATGACTGGTGATATGGGACATCAGGCATGGAGCTATGTCTGGTTCCTGAGAGTAGAAACTTCAGGTACATACATGACTGGTGGTGTGGGACATAAAGTGTGGAGCTATGTCTGGTTCCTGAGTGTAGTGCATCTTAAATTCAGATATGTTAGTGGAGTGCTGGATCAGGAATTTAGTAGGCTAGTTAGAGGCTGCTCTGTAAGATCCAGCGGGCCCGAAAAAGTGGTCCCCGGATTACCAGTTGTAACTTTGGTAGAGTAAAGAAATCCCCAGACATATGGTTGGGAGCATAAAGGGCTGATTTGATCACCGGTCTACCAGTCAGATCAGCGACCAGAGCTGGCCTTCAATCCATGCTAGAGGAACCCACTCCAAGATATCTGCTCTCATTCCAGGTTAATTGCAACTACACCTGTGTATGGGTCCAGATGAAGGGGGATTGGTTGAGCCCCCAAAATGACTTTGATATCCTTTTTACTCTTATGACAAAGACAAGTTGATCTGTACTCTACCATACTTTTATATTCTTTTATGATCCTATGTAAGACATATCACTTGGTTTAGGGCTAGACCGCTTAAACCCTAATTTCACTATATCACTTGGTCGTACTAAGTTTCATATTAGTTATACCTTTAGCGCTTTGATATATATTTTTCTCGATTGCTGATAGGATTCTTCTATCCTCTTTTTAGAGCTGCTTTAGGTCTTAATTTATTATATATTTCCACTTTAGTCTCCTTTCCAGAAGCGCGGATTATCTATTTCTCACTCTACCATACGTCTGGTTGTCTCTTCACTCTACCAGACGTAATACTTGTTCCTGAGCATGAAAGCTTCACTATATATATATATAGTGTATCTTACTAGTGGTATGGGGCTGTGTCTGGTTCATGAGGGTGGGTGGTCCTCAACCTCTTAGCTATACATGGACTTCCTGTACTTTTGGAGGCTTCTGTTAAATCCTGCTACAAGGTTATGCTAACATAGGCTTCCTTAGCACAAGGGACGGTGTCATTGCTACACCAGATTTGGATGGAGTCATGATATGTTTTTGCCAGTAGCTGAGGAACTGCTGTTGCTGTGATATACATTGTGCCAGGATCCCTGTTCTTGGCCTCTCCGCCACTTCTAGAACAAGTCACATATATTGCAGACTGCTAAACGTCTTCACTTGTCCACAGTATACCGGCCAGTTCCTACTGTGCCAGTACATAGACGCTATTTATTGTTCCTTTTGGCCATGCGTATAAATGCAGTAGGGTTATGTCTTAGTCCTTGTCTTGGCTGAATCTTCTAATAGTGTCATTGTTGTGGCAGATTGTGGAGAATCAGTTGCATCTCCTGGTCCTGAGCCCGTCGGGGAGGCCGCAGATAAGATGTGGCTGTGGCAGGTCAGTCTTCAACAGTTTGAGTCCCACGTCTGCTCCGGGGTTCTTATTACAGAGACCTGGATCCTGACAGCGGCGCACTGCGTTCCCAGGTATGAGCCAGGTCACATATAACTTTTTTGGAAATGTTCAAATGCTTTATTTCCTCTTATTTGCATTACTATCGTTCGATGAATGACCACATTTGTTGGTTAATTTATAGGGCTGGTAATGATTACAATTTTCGTGTTCGATTAATCAAAATATTTTTAAATCCATTAATTTCGACTAATTATAACGCACATACAGATCCAACTACATTGGCCTATACACATACAGCACAGCAATGAAGTCATAAAATGAACTAGGATCACAGTAATCCAGCACGTTATTAATCTCACGTGCCCCACTCAATATGGCCGCCGCTTGAGTGGGGCAACGCAGAATAATAACGTGCCGGATTACTGTGATCCTAGTTCATATTATGACTTCATTGCTGTGCTGCATGTGTATAGGCCAATGCCTTGGCTGGCGCTCGTGCAGAAAGTTTCTTGGGCAAACTCACCTGCACAAGTGGCTCCGTCGGCTAACGAAGGGGGGAGGAGTCGGAGGAGTGACGTCACCGTACTCCTCCCCCTTCCCTTCGATAGCCGTCACGGATATCGGCGTCACCGGACTCCTCCCCCCTTCCCTTCGTTAGCAGACGGAGCCACTTGGGGAAGGGGGGAGGAGTCCGGTGACGTCGATGTCCGTGACGTCACCGGATCGGCCGACGGGACTCCCGGAAGCCGGCGGAGAGGTGAGTGTTTTCATTAGCGGTCAAAATAATTTTAATCGATCAAAAAGTTTAACGATTAATCGAGAAATGAATCTTTAATTTTCACAGCCCTATTAATTTAAATGATGGCCATAAATACATTCTCATTATTGATACATGAAGCCCACAGTCCTTCCTTCAGACTTCTCCACGCCAACCTCTAATGATGACGTGGGGGACATGAGCCATTGGGACATTCGTGGTGCCTAGAAATTAACGTATATCTGAAGGCAAAGCTTGTTTTTTAAGGAGAAGGTTAGACGTCTTGCTAGTTTTTTGGGTTTTTTTTGCCAAGTGAGGGAAATCCCTTCTAAGGTAGCTGTCATTGTAACAATGATCTCCATTGAAGGATTTCCCTCTTATTTCTGTGGTGACTTCTGCACTTCCCATCACTGTATTTCCTGGTGACCACAATAGAGGGGGTGAGTCTCCCAGACAGTCATACAATTGTCACTACCCGCTCTTTATCAGGAACTAATGACAAATTGGACTGTAAGAAAGGACGAGGCGACATCATTTGCATCTGAGGGAGAAATCATTTCTCCTGATGTACAGGTGGGGACTTTTTTTTCTAGTTGGGCAGCTAAGCTCTGCGGGGCCTAATGCCAAAAATAATAACACAATGTTGATCCGTGTCACTCTTCTAACTGCTTGTGACCACAGTTGGTTGGGGGTTTTCCTTTTACTTTGGGAGAGTGCTGTGCCTTAGCTTGAATCATCTCTGGCTTGTCTCCATCTGTGTGTGTGTCCTTTGGTGGGAAGGGGCCGATCCAGCCCCTGAGACCTGCTTATGGAGTGCTGTGTATGAAGTCACCTGGGGCGGCTCGTGGACGGATTTGGTCAGAGTTTGTGTTGCTCCTTGCTCTGAACACAAAAACTGCTGAGATGATGAATGTCATGGTTCCTAATAACTATGTAGCTACAATACTTTGTCCTCTTTGTTGTCCCCAGCCGCGCACCTCTTAGTGACTACACCGTCATCCTAGGCCGCAGTCTACAGAACCAGCCCAGCCCTAGAGAGGTGCTGCGTCAGATCAAGAAGGTGGTGCCTCACCCGGACTACAAGCTGAAGACCGGAGAGAACGATATAGCTTTGGTAGAGATGAACTATGGAGTCACTTTCAGCGACCACATCCTGCCCATCTGCCTGGCGTCCAACCAGTCTATCTCTACCACCAATGATTGTTGGGTTATCGGCTGGGGAAGATTGCACCCTTCAGGCAAGTCACTGCTCTAAACACTGGGGCACTCAATAGTCTTTTTTAGACGTCATCAAACTGTTCATACTTAAAAAAAAAAAATACATGAGTAGTAAACACAACTGAAACAGATTGAACCTCCAACATAATCATAGATGGTCACATAGCTGTAGGTTAGTCAGCAACCAGACTTATGGCTTACCCACCACTCTGTTCCATCGTGACCAATCTTCTGTTTGGACCTATGCAGAGCCGTAGCTAGCTCCTTTTGCACCGGAGGCAAGAACAGAAAATCGTAACCCCCAACAGACATGTGCGGTATGTGACGTCATCCTCCAGGATGGAGGTGCGCATGAGCAGAGTGCGCCGGTGGCCAAATCCAATAGCATAAAAACTTGTTTCGTGTGACCAAACTAATGAAAACATTTTTAGTTTCCGTTCATTTTGTCCGAAGCAAATTTTTAGTCTTTACACATGTCTAGTAATGTGTGTGGTTTTTTTTTGCTGTTGGGGAAATATCGGGGGTCTAAACAGACCCCTGACATTTGCCTTTGGAATAGCAAAAGAGATTGAGGACACAGAGTCCTCTGCTCATACAGGGGGGAGAGCAGCAGGGATCCGAGGAGAAGTTGGAGCTTCTGACGCTCCTCTTCTCCCTGCCAAGCCACGGCTATGTTGGTCGCCTGGCGCCCCTGTTGCCAATGGCACCCTGTGCTCCCCATGGCAACAAGGGCGAGGGGGAGCAGCCAGGCTGGCCCTGGTTGCACCTCCTCTCAGCTGCGCCTGAGTCGAGTGCCTCACTCCCCCCATGGTAGCTACAGCCCTGGATCTATGGTTCTTTCCGGTTGGGATGCATACAAACATTTGTATAGATGTCTTGGGTGAAAGCACTCTTGTCCATCAAGTTTAACCTCCAACATCCTCAAGCAGTTGTAGATCACAGCAAGGTAAAAAGACCCCCTCCCCCCTCTTCTTCCTAGATAAACTGGGGAATCACTACATCAACCAGGGGGGAGTTCTCCAACTTTACTCTCATGAAGAACCCTTTGCAATGCTTTGGTGACATAGTCTTCCCTGTATATGCAGCTCGTTATCTAATAACGGTTCTCAGACAATAACATTTATTTGCCAAATTTCCATCATGGATCTGTCTGTAGATTATCAGGGGGATCACCTTTTTTACAAGCTAAGCAAGACACATTTGTTGAGATTTTCATTGCTATTCAGACTTTCCATGGCCCTATAATACAGTCTCCCATCGAGGAACCCTCCCAAAACCCCCTAAGTCCTTCTTACACTGGTCCTACACGTCCCCCGTATTTTGGCCATACAGGTGACGATTCATACGGGGGTCAGTGCTATACTTGCATTATGTATGAAGTTACAGTTCTCTGATAATCATTGTCCCTTCCTTTTCCAGACAGAGCCTCGTCTCCTCCTCCACTGAGGCATCTTCGGGTCCATCTATTGGATGGAAAGGATTGCGGGGGGTCTGTGGGGAACATGACACAGACTGGTGGAACAGGGCAGATTTGCGTAGCTGCTAAAAGTACCACATTTTCGTGCCTGGTATGTACCTGAGGACTTGGTGGCGGGATAAAGAAACAGAACTGGTGCATGATGGGACGAGGCAACACTTCTCCTTAAAACTTTCCTTCCTCATTTCATTTTTCTGCACTTTTTCTTCAGCTGGATGGCAGCGCTCCTCTTGTATGCCAACCGAACCCCAAAGGTCCTTGGTTCGTGTTCGGTGTTGGCAGCCAAACCTCTCCACCCAAAAGGAACGCCTGTCCCAGCAACTTTACCTCAGTGGTGCCCATATTATCATGGATCAGAGGGGTGGTTCCCAAAAAGGACCTAAGCCTCTTGGAGAGGAACCCAACAGTTCCAACATTTGGCTACAATGATACGGTGGCTTCTCCTACCACAACGACAGTGACGCCGACACCTCCGAACACAACTTTGGGTCCACAAAGCACCAACACAACCTACAGAGACAGCGATGTGTCTACTACAGATGTCCACAATTTCACCACCACCAGCACTCCTCATACCACGAGCACCAATACCACCAGCACTCATACCACCAGCACCAATACCACCAGCACTCATACCACCAGCACTCAAAGTTCCTGTCTAGAGTCCACCAGTGGAAGTGGGAACATTTGTTCTGAGCACACAACGGTTACACCGCAGACTCAGAACTCAACCTCGTCTATTTCAATGCCGACTCAACAAACCGACCTAACAGTGAACCCAACAGGGAACTCAACGGTGAACTCAATGGGGAACCCAACAGGCAACCCATCGAGGAACTCAACGGGGAACCCAACAGGCAACCCAACGGTAAACTCAACAGCCTCTGGGGTGGACCCCCTGTGGAGGAGCTGGATAGTTCATGGCCTCCTGATTGTCCTTTTGCTTTGGTTCCCATAGACTAGAAGTGTAGACATCCTACTTTCTGAGGAGCCAAAAACGTCATCTAGAGGTGCTACAGCAATGATGAGTTCAGTCAATGTTTTTAAATTTCATCCACAACCTGCAAATTATTGTTAAATGTACTAAAAATCACTTCTATGGGCCATCGTCTTCAGTCACAGATGGATTGCCTACGTATGTGGAGCACAGAAAGAGGCCCTGTCACTGTGTCTGAGCCAACAAAAAAAATCAGCTTCTGAATGTAGTATTTGATGTGCGATATGAACTTTTATAAGCTTATGACATCATGTTTTGTACAAGGAACCTCCCGGGATATAAAGTGTTATTATTTATTTATTTGGGATGACGGCTGATTGGGTGGAGGGAACCGATGAACACTGTGAAACAATAAACAATGCAAACCTAAAGTAGATGGGACCCCGATCACTAAAACCTCCTCACATCTTTAACATGCTGGCTGATGGCATTTCAAAACAGCGGCTTTCATGCAACGATCCCCGCTGATCCTGCCATGACACTTCCTGTTATGGAGTGACAACTGTCTCCTAATTGCGCCCCCTGCTGGTGACTGACACACATTGCTCAGGCACGGTCCTCCGTTGTCACCATCAGGAAGCCGACCCAGGGTAATGATGTACAGGTGATGCTTGAGCATGTAGACAGGAAGTCGCTGAAAGAGGCCGGAGGAGATCAGCGGCGCCGAGAGATGGGGAAGTTAATGAAAAAAAAATTTTTTAATGTGTTTTGTGAGCAAAAAAAAATAATCAGATTTTCATGCTGCTCAGAGCAAACTAAATGTCACCTTGTTGGGATTTACATCTACTTTAAGATAAAGATGTGGGGGATATTTATAAAGCAGTGAATGTGACGTTCATCAAACATTCACTGGTGGTGAATCAACCTCAGTCATTTTAAAGGCGCGCACCAGATTCACCTTCAGTGAATGTTTATTGAATGTCGGATTCTCTGCTTTATAACCATACCCCAGCGTATGACCAGTCTTGTATCGTGTTATTAGACGTGTTCTGATCATACAATCATGGGGACGCTCCGTGTCTGTGACGTGTTCTGATCATACAATCATGGGGACGCTCCGTGTCTGTGACGTGTTCTGATCATACAATCATGGGGACGCTCTGTGTCTGTGACGTGTTCTGATCATACAATCATGGGGACGCTCCGTGTCTGTGACGTGTTCTGATCATACAATCATGGGGAAGCTCCGTGTCTGTGACGTGTTCTCCGCAGTAACAATGTAACAAAATATATAAAAAATGTTTATTAAATAAAAATTGTTGTTTTTGTGATTTCCTGTTTGCGAAACGTTTCCACGCAGAACGAAAATATATCTGATGTGTACAAAAGTCAGAAGAAGGTAAAGACACACCGAATGTTGGAGAGTTCCTCTCACTTCCTGTCTGGTGGAATCATCGTCACGCAGGACAGGAAGTGAGTCTGCCATAATCATACTTTGCACATTATAGCAAG